TTATCTGACATTTCCAGAAATTCCAAAAAAATGACAGTCTATGTTACCATGTTAAAGTATAAGAGGTTATGGCCTGCAGGGACAGGAGAGAGGTTAACTAGTGCAGAGATCTCAGTTAGACACCCTGGGGCAATTAAAGAAGAGCCAGCAGGGTAATCAGAGAGCCCTATGAACCTTGGTAGGTCTCGTGCTTCCGTGTCTGCTCCTCTCTGCCCAGGCTGAGGTGGGTGTGTTAGAGAGATCTCAGGTGGGAGACCTGGGGCTGGGGACATTCTATTTGGGACACATTTACTTTTTAATCTTTTACATATATGTCTTTCCATCTCTTTCCCAGGGCACTCTGGACTTCAGCCAACAGGTAATGCGTTTTAATTCTTTTTTAGAGGCATATTCAGTTCCCCCTACAACTGAAAGACACAAGACAGAAATAGTGGGAAAGGCTTTGGATCAGAATTTCTGACAGGCTTTTATAGTTCATCTTCTTTTCTCCACTCGCTAAGAGGCCTGTGCTCTGAAGTAGGATTGGAGAGACTTAAGAAATGCGTGTTTCTTCTGCAGCAGTGTTACCACACCAGGCCCCGAGAGAGGGGAAAAGACGCTGTTGTAGAGTTAGGTCTGAAACACACTCTCTGTTTTGCAGGACTCCTGAGCTGAAGTGATGGTGAGGACGTTCAAGGAAGAAGCTTCTGTCTCAGCTTTAGAGAAGGGAAAGATTTCCTGCTTTTCTTGTTCTTTCACATAGAGAGTGGGTTCTCAGGATCTGGTTTGTCCCTGGTTTAGTGACCTTGCAGAAAATTTTCTTCCTAATGCCTTCCTCAGTCCCTGCCCTTGGCCTGGAAGTTCCACTGTTAATTTTCAAACCTCATCTTCACTCTTTGCTGGTCCCCTTTGTGCTCAACTGTTCCTGCCACCTGTGCATCTAAAGTCACCACATGCCACATTATTAAATTTTTCTCAAATAAACATGGAGTGATAAATTACTGGTTCATATGACAAAAAAAATACAAACAAGACATAGGGAATTCCCTCACAATATGAAAATGGTTTTCATTTATGTATGTAAGTATGTCAGGTGTATGTTAAAGAGCTTGATTTAGCCCTTGCACAGTGGGTGCATGTATCAGTCCATCATGCTGAACACCGCAAATGGATACAACTTTGACTTGTCAATTAAAAAGCTAAAATTAAAATGAAAAGTTTTAAAAGGCAATGCCTAAAAACGGGAACAAAACCATAGCAATTGAAACAAAGTTGACAAAAGCATTGAGTAACAAGGTAGAAAAGACAAAACTTATTTTTCATTTCTTGCCTAAAGCACTGTATAAATATAATGGTAAATCAATATAATATTGGAAATTTATTTGAAATTAAAAGCTATTTGAACACAATGTGTCCAGTCTGACACAACTGTTATTTTCAAGTAAATTCAAACTTCATTTTATGCATACATTATTTTAAGTACTTTTTGTGCAAAGCTGGTGATGCTCTAGGAATTTAGTAAGCTGATGGTCATGTCTGTTCTGTTTGGTCCCTGGATGGTAACGTTACTCCCTGAGATAAAGAACTTATTCATCTTATCATATTTGAGACCTGAGGTGTGACATTACACATTATTAAAATGCATGACAGGCCAACCTGTGGTCTGGTGGTTAAATCAGCTGGACCCCACATGGCTGTCTGTTGGTTTGAGTCCTAGACCTGGTGGCATGAAAACTACACCAGCTGTATTTGTACATGTGCCCAAATTTTTTAAAGGAAGTTGAAATGGATAAGTGATTGTGGAGTGAGCACGCCTCTTTGGAACTTGCTTTCTCTCTTTACCTGTCTTATTCTCTGTCCCACACTGGCAAGTGCATGTGCCTTCTGGTAAATTTTTTAAAAAAAGGAAAAACAAAAAAATCGTAAATGTTGTTATCAGAAAATGGCGTAGTGGTTATGTCGCTGGGCTCCCATATGGCCAGCCGTGGTTTGAGTCCTGGACCTGGTGGTTTGAAAATCACACTGGATGCATTGTGCATATGTGCCCAAGATCCCAGGAAGAAAATGGAGGAGAAAGAATTGCAGCATGGCCATCCCCCCGGGGGTCATTTCTTACTTTCCCTCTCACTGTCTCTCTCTCTCTTTCTGGCGAGTGCACATGCCTGAGGGCAAAAACCCAAAAAAAAATCATACACATCATAAGTACTTCAATGAAGACACTTTCTGCAGTGGTGTCAGGAAATCTAATCTAAATTGCTTTATTTTTCTCTGACTTGTTATCTCACATAGTTGATAGATTCAAGGTAGGCATTCCAGGGTTGTTCAATTTACTAGGCCAGTGATATACCAATAACCCCGGAACTTTATAACTCTCCCCTCTATCACACATGGCCTGTCAGCAGACACACAGCACTTCACCAAACGAGCAGAATACATTCTTTTAAAGTTTCCATAAAACCTTTACCAAGATATATCACATGTTAAGGCAGAAATGGACCTCAAAAACATTTCGGAATTTAAACTCTACTGACTGTGTTTTCTGGACACAGAGAAACTGACAACATAAAGATAATCAATCCTATTCCAAACACTCAGAAACTAAACAATATCTAAGTAATCCATGTGTCAAAAGGCTGTCTTAAAGGGAAAAATATATCTATTTAACTATATGAAAAGTGAAAATACATTTCAAAAATTGTGGGATGCAGTGAAAGCAATGCTTAGAAAACAATATTTATAGAACTATATGTATACACTAAAGCAGATAAAGTGTCACAAATCAACAGTAAAATCTAGAAAAAAGCGTCATCCAGTAGGATGGTGGTTAAGGTGGCTGATCCCTCATGGTCAACTGTGTAGTTCAAATCCTGCATCCAGTGGCTTGGAAAACACTCTGGTGCGTGTGCATGTGTGCCCAAAATCCT